CTCGTCCTGTCTCGCCTGTTCGCACTGTCCGCGCTGGTCGTACTGGTCGTCGTGTTCCTCGTGAGCGTCCGCCGGCTGTCCCCGGCACACACCTCATGGCCCTGCATCCTTCCTCTGCTCCGCAGCGTGTTCCCCTGCCGTCCCCTCCTGCGTCTTCCCTGCCTGCCGTTCTAGACCCTGAGTCAGACAGCGCTCGTGCTGCTCACCCTACTGTCACGCGTCGCTAGCCACTGTTGTCACTGACCCGTCGTTTGAGTCTGCTGCTGCATCTGCCTTAGTCGCTGAGCTTGTTGCCTTTGCTGCTGCCTGTCGTCTAGACTACGCCGCTAGTCTTGTTGCTGGGTCTGGGTCTGTGTGTCCTCCGTCCGTCGGGGGTGCGTGTGCTCTTGGCACGGACGTCCTTAAGGACAGGCTGGAGAACCTTGAGTGCCTTGCAGCCGCTGCGCCTCATCTCGTGGCCATGCTGCTTGCCCCTGAGGGAGACCCGGATGCTCCAGACATCCCTACCCCGCGCTCTTACGCTGAGGCGATCGCGGGTGAGTACTCCTCTCAGTGGCAGGCAGCCATGGACGCAGAGATGGCATCCTGGAAGTCCACAAACACTTACGTTGATGAGGTTCCCCCTCCTGGGGCGAACATCGTCAATGGCATGTGGATTTTCAGGGTGAAGCGACCGCCAGGTTCTCCGCCTGTCTTCAAGGCTCGTTACGTTGCTCGAGGCTTCAGTCAGCGGGAGGGAGTTGACCTTCTCCCCCACCCCGAAGATGACCACTCTTCGGGTGCTGCTGCACGTTGCCGCTCAGCGTGACTACGAGCTTCACTCTCTAGACTTCAGCACAGCTTTCTTACAGGGCAGCCTGCACGAGGAGATCTGGCTGCGCCGCCCACCTGGCTTCACTGGGTCGTTTCCTCCTGGTACCCAGTGGAGCCTCCGGCGGCCAGTCTACGGTCTCTGCCAGGCGCCGCGTGAGTGGCACGACACACTGAGGACGACACTTGCGGCTCTTGGGTTTGCTCCTTCCACTGCTGACCCGTCGTTGTTTCTGCGCACCGACACTTCGCTGCCGCCGTTCTACATCCTCGTGTACGTCGACGACTTGGTCTTTGCCACTGCTGAGACTGAGGCTCTCGCTCTGGTGAAGTCTGAGCTACAGAAGAGACACACGTGCTCAGACCTGGGTGAACTGCGCAGTTACCTTGGCTTGCAGATCACCCGGGACAGAGCACGGCGCACCATCACACTGACTCAGTCACACATGGTGCAGCAGGTCCTTCAGCGCTTCGGCTTCACCTGGTCCTCGGCACAGTCCACTCCTCTGGCTACAGGTCACTCGCTCTCAGCTTCACCTTCGGACGAGTCCGTAGAGCCGAGTGGTCCTTACCCAGAGCTAGTGGGCTGCCTCATGTACCTGATGACCTGCACACGTCCTGACCTTGCGTACCCTCTTGGCCTTCTGGCTCGCTACGTGGCTCCTGGTAGGCACCGAAAGGTGCACATGGATGCTGCTAAGAGGGTACTGCGCTTCATGTGCAGTACATCGGGCATGGGGCTCGTGCTTGGAGGACGGGGCGACGTTGTCCTCACTGGTCACTTGGACGCTTCTTGGGTTGACGACCTGACTACGTAGCGGTCGTCACAGGGTTACACCTTCAGTCTTGGCTCTGGCTCTGTTTCGTGGCGGTTCACACGCTCGTCTTCTGTTCTCGGCTCCAGTTGTGAGGCTAAGATCTACGCCACAGCCATGGCTGCACAGGAGTTACGCTGGCTCACCTACCTGCTGACCGACTTGGGAGAGCGGCCTCGTTCTCCTCCAGTTCTGTACGTAGACAACAAGGCGGCCATTGCCTTGTGTCAGGAGCACAGACTGGAGCACAGAACGAAGCACATCGCTCTGCGTTACTTCCTTGCTCGAGAGTTGCAGCAGCGTGGTCAGCCTCGTCTTGCTTACGTGGCCACTCGGGCCAACACTACTGATATATTCACCAAGGCACTTCCGCCTGGTGATCATCAGCGCTTTTGTACTTTATTAGGCCTTGTGCCTACGTTTCCTCACTTGCTGTAGACTTTGCGTGTACAGTGATCTTATATATATACACCTGCATGCTTGCTCTTGCTAGGTAGTGATCACTGTGTTGCTGTTGTTGCATATATACCTCTGCATGTGAACTGGCCTTGTGGCCTTTTGCTTGTGCTCAGTGTGTGTGGTGACGTTGTGATCCACCCTGAGCTTGCTTTGCTTCTCTTGACTGGTCTTGTGACCCCTTGCTCTCCCCCACTTTGCGTATGGGGGTGTGTCAAATTATATATATGCTATTTATTTTTAGGCTATAGTGGGGTAGCCAGTATGGGGTACAACCCCTTTAGGGTTTCATATTTGTACCAAACTCTTTCCTAGTTCATTCATTCCTGCTTAGCATTCTGACACCATTGCCTTGCGTCAGGACCACAGACTGGAGCACAGAACGAAGAACATCAATTTTCTTTACAGTTGCAGTAGCGTGGTCAGCTTCGTGTCGCTCACGTGCCCACCCGGGCCAACACGGCTGATGTGTTCACCAAGGCCCTTACGGCTGGTGATCATCAGCGCTTCTGCACTGCTCTAGGACTGGTGCCTTCGTGTCCTCACTTGCTGTAGACTTTGCTTGTACTGTGATCTTCTTATATATCTACCTGTATTCTCACTCTTGCTAGGTAGTGATCATGTCAGAATCCCAACCACTAGACCATTGGGATAAAAGGGCTTGTTAAGTAGCGGGTCAGTGCGCCCATAACCCCCCAGGCCAACATGCCTGTAACCCTTCCCTAGGATCAATCAGGGATCACCAGTGGACCTCTGACACCCCCCCGCACTGGGATGCCCGAAGTGCATACACTGGGATTCGAACCCGAGACCTTCGCTCTGATACCATGTCAGAATCCCAACCATTAGACCATTGAGATAAAAGGGCTTGTTAAGTAGCGGGTCAGTGCGCCCATAACCCCCCAGGCCAACATGCCTGTAACCCTTCCCTAGGATCAATCGGGGATCATCAGTGGACCTCTGACAGATCACTGTACTGTTGTTATTACATATATACCTCTGCATGTGAACTGGCCTTGTGGCCATTTGCTTGTGCTCAAAATATGTGGTGACTTTGTGATCCACCCTGAGCTTGCATTGCTTTTCTTGACTGATCTTGTGACCCCTTGTTCCCCTCCATTTTGCCTATGGGGATGTGTCAAACTATACTGCTACTTATGTTGTGTAGGCTGTAGTGGGGTAGCCAACGTGGGGTACAACCCCTTTAGGGTTTTTATTTGTACCCAACACTCTCTTAGTTCATTCATTCGTGCTCTTAGTTCTGACAGACTATTCCCTCCTAGGATATTTTAAGAGGATGTACGGCACAGGCCCTCAGATTGGTTTGAGGGTATGCTGATCGATCAGCGTGCCCCGGCCGCCCAGGTGTCCAAATCAGCGTTCATGGTTTTTTTTTATACTGATTTTGCCAGTGTAAAAATCATAAGTAGACTGAACCATCAGTGTAAAAAAGAAAAACAAAGTTGAATCACCAATTCAACTCAAAGTTTGCCGCTGTGAGAGTTCCTTCCAGCGATGCAAAGCATGTCGGCACGCGATCTGCTGTACAGCGCATGGCATCTCCAAGTGTGTGGGTGGGGTCTCGTGAATCCCGGGCCAGGTACATACTATACACACGCGTACCCCCCCCCCCCCCCCCCGAATCGGTCAAGTCCGTTTCAGTGTGACTCACGACACTACACTGATTCGTCAGTGTTACTTCTACAGCAACACGGAAAATGGTCAGTGTGGCAAGGTAGTTTATACTGAAATTTCAGTGCAAAATTGAAGCATATGCTGAATTTCCAGGGAAAACGAAAATCACAGCTACAAAATCAGCCTAATCAGCGTGTTTTACGCTGATATCTGAGGGCCTGGTACGGCATTACAATTCCTTACTGTACTCGCCCTTCAGCGGGTACGATTCTGAGGGGATCGCATCAACACGTTTGGCCAACATTCCCGCACTGAACCACTCCCGAGTCGCCCCCGCACCGATTGCAACCCTCCGGACCCACCTTCGCCCAATCTCCTTGCCTAGCTAGGATCCCCCCATTTAATCCCGTCACTTTTGATGTATCGTCATTCTGTAATTTCAAATTCTCGTTATTCGTTATTCTGCGCATTCTGAAAGTTCATTCATACGGTAACATTGCGGGTCTGACCAGCCATACTCTTATCTATTACCTAGAGTATGAAAAATCATACAAAAGCTTCACATTGAGTATGGAAATTCATTATTAACGGTGGACAAATGTGAGGTGAGCCGCCCTATGTTGAGTGGCCTCCTGCGGCAGACCCATGCACGTCCTTTATCGTAGCACTTGCCCAATTCGCCCTACTGTCATGCTAGTCGTGGCGCACTCCTTGCCCGCGAGATGCGCACCACAGCGACTGGCGTTCGTCACACCACGGCGTTGCTGCGAATCGCCACGCAAGCAGGGCTCGCTCGCATGGAGACACCCGACGCGGCTCCCTCTCGTGCATGCACCCGCACGCCGCGCATGCACCCGCACGCCGCGCATGCAATGCACATTGCCGAATCGCCGCGAGTGCCTGGCGCGCTGCGCCGTTACTTTCACGAGGAATGTCGAGTGATGTAGTGCTGCCTCTCAATGTCGACGAGTGTGGACTGTCGTTGTCGCTGTCGAATGCTGCGCGCCTCCGCAATGGTGACGACGCGCTCGACTGAAGCGCCGCGAGGCAGTCCCTCCCACTCCTTCCGCTGCTCTCCCTCCCACTCGCCTGCAAGTCCTTAGCCTCTCGAGCGGGCCCCTGTTTATCGCGTCAGTTCACTTGCGCTCACCGAGTTCCTTGGTCATCGCCACACTCGCCGCGCCCTTCACCGGTCCGTCTCGTGCCGTTCCTCCGTCAGCCCGCTCTTCGCTCATCGCATAGTCGCAATCGTCGCATCGAGTGTCGCGACAGCAGCACGGCAGCATGTGGGGGCATCTCACGTCGTCCCTCCGCCGACTCACAGTGCGCTCTGGCGAGCCGCACACCGCGCCGGACAAGCCGCTCATCGTCGTCTTCGGGGCCACCGGTGAGCCTCTCCGCGCCTCTCCGCGCCTCTCCGCGCTACTTACGCTCACGTATGTCCGTCTTTCTAACTCCTCTCCTTGCACGCAATCCTTTCCCGCCCTCCCTGCCATCCCCACCTTCCCCTCTCCCGGCCACCAGGCGCGCAGGGCAGCAGCGTGGTGGCGGCGCTGCTGGCGAGCGGGCGCTACCGCATCCGCGCCGTCACGCGCCACGCGGACTCGCCGCGTGCCGCCCATCTGAGGGACGCCAAGGTGGAAGTGGCACAGGCCGACCAGGCGGACCGCCAGGCCGTGCGCGCGGCGCTGGAGGGTGCTTATGGCGCGTTCGTGGTGAGTGCCGTGCGGTGCGGGCAGCAGCGCGTGTAGCGCGTACAAGGCTCACCTCAGTCGCATGTTGTTGGGCAGCCTCCCATAGCCATGCTTTGCTCTATTTCGCATGTCTCTTCAAAACTGCTTCACCACACCACTCCCCGCGCCAGCTACTCTCTCCTGATGTTCACCACGTCTTTCACTGCCCTGTCTTGCTCTGCGCATCCCGTCAACTGCTCTGCGCATCCCGTCCACTGCTCTGCGCCTTGCAACGGGCGCCGCCACATCTGCATTGCGTGTGCCCTCTTTTGGCATTGTGCCCTCTCTTAGCATTGTGCCCTCTCTTGGCATTGTGCCCTCTCTTGGCATTGTGCCCTCTCTTGGCATTGTGCCCTCTCTTGGCATTGTGCCCTCTCTTGGCATTGTGCCCTCTCTTGGCATTGTGCCCTCTCTTGGCATTGTGCCCTCTCTTGGCACCATCACTTCCAACCTCGCCAACCACACCCCGCCCCTTCTCCTCTCGCTCTCTCCCTGCTCTCTCCCTGTTCTCTCCTGCTCTCTCCCTGCTCTCTCCTCGCTCTCTCCCCTTCCCTCTGCTGGGCAGGTGACGGACTTCTACTCGCTGGGAGAGCGCGAGGTGGAGGTGGGGAAGGGAGTGGTGGAGGAGGCGAGGGGGGCGGGCGTGCAGCACGTGGTGTGGAGCACACTGCCCCACGTGCACCGCCTCTCCAAGGGCCAACTCAACGTGCCGCACTTCACCAACAAGGCCAAGGTCGGCGCCTCCCGCACACTCTCTTCCTCTCCCTGCTCTGCCGCTGCCTCCCACTCATTGCTGCCTTACCACGCCATGGGCGCCTTATTATCAGTTCCCCGAGTGTTTCGCCTCAGCTCGCACGCACCTCTTGGCCGTCACTGTGCCGTTTCCCCCCCATGGCGCTGCAGGTGGAGGAGGTGGTGAGGGCGAGCGGCTTCAAGCACCACACATTCGTCATGTGTGCCTTCTATTACCAGAACTTCGCCCACTTCAACCTCGCCAGGTGCGCCCATGCGCGCCTTGTCTTGCGCTTGTTGCCGTCTGCTTAATGCATGTGGCTTCATTCAACCTGTGAAGGAGAGACAACAAGCATGTGGCTTTACAATCCACTGTACGCTGTGCAGTGCAGGGAGGAGGCGGATGGCACGGTGGTGTTTGAGCTGCCCATGGCAGCAGACGACATGCTCACGGCCTTCGATGTGGACGACACCGGTGCTGCCGTGCTCAACGCCCTCGACCACCCCCATGACTGGGATGTGAGTGCGCCCTCTGCTGCCTGCATCGCCACATGCAACGCTGTTGCTGCCATGGCAGGTGCTTTCGCCCCGTCCGGGCTCTACTGGAAAACCAAGTGGATTGCTTGCGCTGTGGGTGCTGACTGCGTGTGCTTACCCCCCATGAGTTGACCCCTGTGTTCTTGCTCTGCTCACTCCTCCCCCTCACCCTCTCCCATTCCCGCTGCCTCTGCTGCGCCCCTGGATGCATGCGTGCTGGCAGGGCGAGTACATGTGTCTAGCGGGCTACCACGCCCCCCTGCACCAGTACGTCTCCGACTTCCACCGCGTCACGGGCCGCCCCGCCCGCCTGCACACCACTGAGAAGGCGGCCTCTGACGAGTGGACGCAGGTGAGGGGGGAGGGAGGTGAGGGGTGAATGGTGAGGGACGCACGCACTCTGCATTGTGTGGCTTCAGGGGACAGGCTGGGGTGGCGAAGAAGGAACGGTTGGAGTGTTTCCTTTGTGCGCCCCTGGGGTGCTGCCATGCCACGCTCCCTCTCACTTGTCCGTCCGCCTTCCTGTGCCTCCTGAGCAGATGTTCCGCTGGTTCTCCCAGCACACGTACTTCGGCTGTCATGACATCAGCAATGCGCGGCGCTGCAACCCGCACCTCAAGACGTGGCGCCAGTGGCTGCAGGAGAGCGGCTGGAAGGGGCCCCAGGGGGTAGAGGAGGGCGAGGGGAAGGGAGAAGCCACGGGGGAAGTGAAGGGAGAAGGTGAGGTTGAGTCTGAAGCTAGGGGTGGAGGGAAGGAGGTGGGGGGAGGGGCGAAGGAGGTGGGGGGAGGGGCGAAGGAGGTGGGGGGGAGGGGCGAAGGAGGTGGGGGGAGGGGCGAAGGAGGTGGGGGGGAGGGGCGAAGGAGGTGGGGGGAGGGGCGAAGGAGGTGGGGGGGAGGAGGAGGAGGTGGGGGGAGGGGCGAAGGAGGTGGGGGGAGGGGCGAAGGAGGTGGGGGGAGGAGCGAAGGAGGTGGGGGGAGGGGCGAAGGAGGTGGGGGGAGGGGCGAAGGAGGTGGGGGGAGGGGCGAAGGAGGTGGGGCATGGGGGTGAGGCCCCTCCCAAGGCGCATGTGGCGGGCGCATAGCAGTGTGGCGGAGAGAGGGAAATATGAGGAAGACGGTGCTTTTGATGGAGGTGTGGATATGGACTGCCGAAGTTAGATGGTTGTAGGAGCATGCTTGCCATGTTTGTCCATATTGTGAATACGGTACCAGCGTTACTGCGTAATGAACTTGTTTCACATGTCAACTGCTCACATGTCAACTGCTCACATGTCAACTGCTCACATGTCAACTGCTCACATGTCAACTGCTCAACATGTCAACTGCTCACATGTCTAACTGCTCACATGGTCAACTGCTCACATGTCAACTGCTCACATGTCAACTGCTCACATGTCAACTGCTCACATGTCAACTGCTCACATGTCAACTGCTCACATGTCAAAACTGCTCACATGTCAACTGCTCACATCATATGTGGGCGGAATACACATCCACAAGATGTGCAGGATTCCATCATTGCAAATAATGGTACACTCAGCTGCTCATTCTGCACACAGATTATCATGTAAGCACATGCCTTCATGATGAATCAACAACTGCACAAAACAGCACTGCCTTGTACTGTACCACGCTACTCAGTGTGTGCCAGCAGCGACAGCACCTTGGCTGCATGAGCTTCTCTCGAACCAAACAAGGGTCGCATGTCCCCAGGCAACCACGCCTCATCCACCCTCCAAGCACCTGCCCCACCGCCTCCTCTTCCCCCCCTCCCTCCTCCCATCCCTCCACCCGCCTTCTCCACCATCTCCTCCCCAAACGTCTCTGCAATGCAATACAGAGAGGTGCGCACCACATCCGCCATGGCCCATGCCTCGCCCCACACCGGCCCCACCACCCCCTCGCTGTACACAGCTCTCCCCACCGCCCCGCCCCCTGCTCCCTCGCCTGGTACGTCCGAACCACCTGCTGCAGCACCTCCATACCTAAGACCGAGGGTCGGTGTGCCAAATAATCCCCCGCTTCCTGAAGCTAGAACCGAGGTCTGGTGGGAGAAGGCAGGTTGAGAGGCACCTGGAGGAGTCGCTTGCGAGGAAGCTTCCCCCAAAGCCAGAGAAGGTGGCGGGGGCGGCGGGGTGGCGGTGGGAGGGGGAGAGGAGGAGCGAGTCAAGGGCGAGCAGTGCAGAGAGCAGCGCGGAAAGCGCCGCGGCGTTGGCGCCCGCCATCTGCGCCACGCCCATGCGGTCCTCCCCCCCGCGACGCTGCTGTCAGCGCTGCCAGCGCGCGCATGCTCATGACACACAGCAGGTGTGCGGGGAGAGACGTGGAGGGGTATGGAGGAAGTGGATCGGAGAGTCGGGGGTTCACGGGTCGAGCATGGCGGAGAGGAAAGGGGGAGGGACAGCAGCTGTGGCGGTTGGAGGTATCAGGAGCCATTTTGCGCCACGTGCAGAAACCCATGCATGTGACGCAACACGAGGTGTGATTGCGATGACATCTCATGGCATGGCAAGGCATCGCATGACTTGCCATGGTGTGGCATTTGGGCCACCTCGGCCGCCACCCCCACCTGCCATCACCCCACCTGCCATCACCCCACCTGCCATCACACCCACCTGCCATCACCCCACCTGCTGCCCTCTCACCTGCCGCCCTCTCACCTGCCGCCCCGCTCACCTGCGCCCGCTCACCTGCCGCCCGCTCACCTGCCGCCCGCTCACCTGCCGCCGCTCACCTGCCGCCCCGCTCACCTGCCAGTCAAAGAACACCTCAGCTGCGCTGGGCGCTCTCCTCCTCCCCTCCACGCCCCCCACGCCCATTCCACTCCCCCCTGGCCCCCCGAACCCCCCATATGCGCCGCTTCCCAAGACCTCTCCCCCTTGCAGCGCCTGCCCCTCCACCCCCTCCCCTCCGCCCTTCCCCTGCCGCCATCTCATCCCTTCAGCAGAGGCAAACCCGGCTGCTGTGAATGCAGCCGTGGGTGACTGTAAGGAATAATGCTGCCTGCTGCTGCTGCTGCAGTGCAGTGGTAACGGTGGGATAACCAGCAGCAAGCAGCGACTCGGGCCGTCATGGCATCGATGGGGCGGATGCACGCCGCCACCACTGCGCTGTACGCCTCCTGCGACTCAACAGCGCCGCGCGGCGCCACGTGTCAGCCTCTGATTCGGCGAGCAGCGAGAGGTTCGAGCAGCGCCCAGTGGAAGCACGAGGCGGGGCAGGGCGACGGAGGGGGCAGGGGGACAGGGGATGGAGGAGTTGCGGGGCCAGGGGAGGGGGAGAGGGGCGAGGAGGAGGGGGCGAGGGGGGAGGAGGGGGAGGAGGGCGCGGGGAGGAAGAGGTGGTGGTGGGTGAGGAAGATGTTCGTGCGGCCGCAGCGGCCTCCCAGGAGAAAGGCCAGGAACGCCACGCCGTGCAGGCGGGCCAGCAGAGAGAGCAGGCAGTGCGCGGATGGAGAGAGCGGGGGCACCGGCGGAGGAAGGCCTGAGCGGGATGCCGGTGAGCGTGGTGGTGGTGCGGTGGCGGAGAAGCGGGCAGGCAGGAGGCGGGCGGAGCAGGAGGGAGTAGAGGAGCGCTGGTTGATGCACCCGAATAGTTTTTTTTTTGGCTGCTGACGTGGCGCAGCGCGGGAGGGTCGTCTTGAATCGGTAGAACGGGGCGCGCTGTAAGGGGTATGGCGGGATGGCATAGGAGAGGGCGGGCAATTAGGGTTGTGAGTTTAGGACAGGCAATAGAGAGGTGAGTCATGGAGTGCAGCACTTGCCGCGCCAACTCCCCCACTCTCAGCTGCCTCGCCTTGTAGCCGTCGCACCACGGCAGCTGCGGCAATTGAGATGAAGGCGCATTTGTGGAAGAGGACCTACACGTGGGCGGGGTGGAGCGCAGCTGCGCGGCGCCCCTGCAGCACGGGGAACGCGAGGAGGTAGTCGCGCCGCACCACGTGGTACGCCGCGAACAGCACCCCCACCGCGCACGCCGAATCCCGCCTCGCCCGCACGGCCCAACCGTCTGGCCGCCACTCGTCGTTGGATTCGGTCTCCGCCGTGCTGCCCAGAAGCTGCGCGCGGAAAGAGCGAGCAGCGCGATCGCACCTGCGGCGCCCGCCGCGGCGCAAAGAGAAGCGAATTGGCGCGGCCAGCTAGCGTCGCCCGAGCCGCTTCGCCTCCCATTGGCTGGCGGGCCCCGGCGAAACTCAGGAGTCCCGTCGTCGATGGCGCGAATCTGTTGGTCTTGGTGCACGAACGGGCCGTGGATCTGATATGCCGGCAAATCCGGCGAGATTCGCGGCGGAAGAGCGGAGGGAGGCAGTGGAGGGGAGGGGAGGGGCGCTCTGCGACGACGATGGCGTGGTGAGCTTAGAACGAAAAGAAGTTGCGAAAGATCAAAAATCGCGAAAGCGAGGTAAAGGCGCAGCGAGAAGAAGGAGAGGAGCGATGGGAGGAGGCCCGCGCGGACGACGAGCGGCGCGGCCCAGAGGAAGAGGAAGGGGGCCGATGGAGAGCAGGTGGAAGGAAAGGCGCGCCCCAGCGGCGATGCACGACATCGCGATACATCGCCTCGGCGGACGTGCTGGCGACGGCGGGAATCTGCTCCATGACGAAGATGCGATGCGACGGATTACGCTGGACTAATTTTGAGGGAGGAAAGCCATAGGTGAATTCGGGAATGGCTGGCAGTCAGCCGTGAATGCCGCCCTGGATTGGTCCGGGGTAGGAAAAAGGAATGGGTGGCTCATACGCAATAAGGAATCTCGTTGAAGAAGGATGGTCAGTTTTAGTACCAGTAGTATACTGCTAAAGAAATCCGAAGAGGTTGTGGAGCATAAAATATTCATGAAACCTATATGGTAGTTGTTACGAGTTGTAAAAGGGAGAGCGCAAGATAACGAATAACGAAGATGTGACTTGATGAACTGACAATATAATGAAGGCATGCAATTATATATTGACTACCCTAGCTAGGAGGCGAACCTCGGAAATGAGGTTCGCGTTCAGGTTTGGCAATCGAAAGTCGAAGGCGATACGAGGAGCCTCAGTTGTCAGAATCCGACCACTAACACTGGGATAAAATGGCTTGTTTGTACAGCGGGTGACTGTGCGCACATAACCCTCTAGGCCAACGTGTCTGTAACCCTTTCCTAGCATCAATCGGGGGATCACTAGTGGACCCTCTTGTGAGATATGAACGAGAGAATGAATGCACTGTAGAAAGCAATGGAGTACATATAGGAAACCCTAACAGGGTTGTACTCACTATGAGTACCCCACTGCAGACTAGAGAACATGATATTCTGACACACCCCCATAGTCAAAGTGGGGTATGATCAGCACAAGAAGCAAAGCAAAGCAAGCTCAGGGTGGATCACAATGTCACCACACATTCTGAGCACAAGTACAAGAAGTAACAGTTTTAAAATCACAATAAATAAGTAAGCTAGAGGCTATCACAGAGGGCAAGTGAGGAGGAGGAGGCGGGACTGTAAAAGAGGAGAGGAGATAGGAGGCGACGGCTGAAGCTGCAGGGACACACGGGCAACAGGAGTCACACTGGCACAGTGGCTACCGGAACAGCGCCCCGGACTACAGGAGTAACTGGCCTCCCGCGGCTTAAGACGAGCGTCAGGAGCAACGGACCCCACGGGCGACTGGCGCAGCTGGCTACGACTGGGCTACCAGGACAGCGCACCGGACTACAGGTGCTGCGGACGACAAGACAGCTACCTCCACCCAACCTCCCTCTACTGCCGCACCCCCACATTCACACACCCCCATGCTGCACCCCTAGGTTCACTCACACACCCCACCCCCTTAGCACCACGCCTTTGGCTCCCACACATCCACCCCCCTCAGCGGCAGCTGCAGCAGTGGGAGACAAAGGAGGAGGAGGGGAAGGGAAACATTACCACCCATCACCCCCCAATACCCGCCCACCCCCATACCCTCCTTACCACGGCTGCACGCGCAGCAGGGAGACGAAGAAGGGGCGGGGGGGGGGGGGGAGAGCAGCAACGGGCAGTACAGGGAGGCGGCGGCACCGGGTCCAGGGGCGGCGGCGCGGGGTCCAGGGGCGGCTGCACCAGGGGCGGCTGCTCCCGGGGCGGCTGCACCAGGGGCGGCTGCACCAGGGGCGGCTGCACCAGGGGCGGGGCGGCTGCACCAGGGGCGGCTGCACCAGGGGCGGCTGCTCCAGGGCGGCTGCAGAGGTCTAGGGGCGGCTGCACCAGGGCGGCTGCTCCAGGGGGCGGCTGCACCAGGGGCGGCTGCTCCAGGGGCGGCTGCACCAGGGGCGGGGCTGCACCAGGGGCGGCTGCTCCAGGGGCGGCTGCAGAGGTCCAGGGGCGGCTGCACCAGGGGCGGCTGCTCCAGGGGCGGCTGCACCAGGGGCGGCTGCTCCAGGGGCCGGCTGCAGAGGTCCAGGGGCGGCTGCACCAGGGGCGGCTGCTCCAGGGGCCAGGGGCGGGCTGCCCAGGGGCCAGGGGTGGCTGCTCTGGGTCCAGGGGCGGCTGCTCCAGGGGCGGCTGCACCAGGGGCGGCTGCTCCGACGCGCGGCCGGGGCGGCTGCTCCAGAGGCCAGGGGCGGCTGCTCTGGGTCCAGGGGCGGCTGCTCCAGGGGCGGCTGCACCAGGGGCGGCTGCTCCGACGCGCGGCCCCCCAGGTCGCCCCTCCCGTCGCCTGTTGAGGCGACCTGAGGGGGGGGGGGGGGGGGGGGGAGGAGTACGGGGGCCGACGCGCGGCCTCCCAGGGCGCCAGAGCAGGCGGAAGAAGAAGGGGCGACGCGCGCCCCCCCAGGTTGCGCGCCCCCCCCCCCCCCCGCTCGCCACGCAAGGCGACGGGAAAAGGGGGGGGGGGGCGGTGCACGGGCCCCTGGTGCGCCACGACAGGCATGAGGAGGGCGGGGCCTGGGCAGGGTCGGGGCATAGCAGGGGGAGGGCCGCGAT